TTTCATTCTCCTCTAGTTCACTCAAACATATACACCCATAAGGACATTAATCTCTTCTAGTCTTATGAAGTGTTTATCCCATAAAATCTTACAACTCTTTTATATATTTTTTTCATATCTAACCTCATATAGACTTCACCTATTTTTAAGTATACAAACTTGTATTAAGAATCTTTTTTCTCTTAAAATTCTTCTTTTTCAAGTCAAATTTGCCTATAAAAAATTTATTTTCTCTTAGAATTCTTTTTCTAAAGTCTTCTTATCTATCAAGCAATATCTAACCAATCATAAACAAATCTATTATGGGATTTAAGTCACTATTCTCATCAATCTCCACATTGACTCAAATTCTATCAAATCTTTTGTTTTAATGCTAGATATACTTTATTCCACCTGCAATGGAAGTTTCACAATCATTTTCTCTTGTGTATCTTCACACTTTACTTAAACTGATTCTCAATCCTCAAAACTTAAATTCAAATTTTTCTCTTGAATCGAGCCCTTCTTGGCTTGCCTCTTCCCATGGCTCGAGCCTTCAGTTCTTTTCACGTTTTAAGCCTTCAGCTTTGATACCACTTGTTAGGTCAAATAGTCTCAATCCCATCACACCAACATAAGCAAAATCAAATAATTAAATAAACACACAAAAGATAACAATTTAACGTGATTCAACCTAATTGACCTACGTCAATCATAAGAAATAAGATACACTAGTTGTAGAGAATTACAAATATACAATCAAATCAAGTACTCATAATCAATACTCATAAGACATTCTCAATTTCTTCTAGTCATATGAAATATTTTCAACCCAAATAAACACATACCCCTATATACCCATGCACCATACCTATGTGAATCATCTTATTTTCTTCTAGTCCATTCAAACATACACACCCATAAGGACGTTAATCTCTTCTAGTTTTATAGAGTGTCTATCCCATAAAATTCAAAAACTCTCTTACATTTTTTTTCTGATACCTAATCCAATAAAGACTTTACCTATTTTCAAGCATATAAACTTACCTATTAAGAATCTCATTCCTCTTATAATTCTTCTTCTGCAAGTCAAACTTATTTATTAAGAATTCTTTTTCTCTTATAATTTTTTTCTGCAAGTCTTTTTGTCCATTAAGTAATATCTTATCAATTTCAAACAAATTTAATATGGGATTTAAGTCACTATTCCCAAAAATTTTGATTGATTGTTTGGATGGGATCTGTTTTTGCCATTCAATTAACAAACTAATATCATTTTATATAACATTTTGAATTATAGTTAGCCATCAACTAAGTTTGGCAGTGGTCTCTCACCTTATTATTACATTTTATCTAACCATTACAAATTAAACAAAAATTTGGTTAACATGCATAAGAAAAAATGTTGCAATTAAATGATAATATATATAAATGACATTTACATAGTATATAGAACAATGTCATTTTAGATGGGTTTTGTTAATGGGTGTTATAAATTAGGAATATGGTATTTTAAGACTTTTTATTACATAAATGCTACAGCTTGGAAATTAGTAGTGTAAACGAATAAAGTTTTAGATGAATTATCCGTAAATATGTTTGGTTTCTATTTGTTTATATTCATTTATTAAGCTTAATAAATGATCATAAATAGTATTTTTATATTCATTTATTAAACGAACCGAATACGAATAGAGGTGTGTTTGGTTTGTTTATGTTCATGAACAAGTTCATTTAAAATTTATTTAAAATTTGTTCGTTTATTATTCATTTGCTATTTGTTTATAATAACACTAATAAAATTATATTATGTTTTATCCTAATCTTATTTTAAGATTCATTTACATTCATTTATGTTTGTTTGAGATTTGTTTATTTAAATTAATTTAGTTATGGTTTGTTTATTATTTATGAACATGTTCGTTTATATATATTCGTAAACATGTTCGTTTAATGTTAATAAACGAGCTCATTTAACTTAATTGAACTCGAATATCCTATCATTTAAACAAACCGAACTCGAACGAACAAAGTAATTTTTTTATCAAATATGAACCGAATCTAAACACCTTTAAAAATAAACAAACAAACCACATACATATGCTCGTTCATATTTAGTTTGTTTACAGCCCTACTGAGAATAAAGAAAAAGATTGCAAATGATGAGATTTGAACTATAGATCTGTTGAATGTTATATTTATAAAGACGATAGCATTAACCTAACATAATTAAGTCCTGAATTCCCTTAAAAAATATTTTCCATTGTATGTTTAACCATGTATAATTAACTACAAAATGATTTCCAGAAGTTAATCACTGTTTTTTGGGAGAACAATTCATAATTAATGTGTGGAAGTAGCAGTTGCAGCTTTTTTAATGATTGTGTTAACGTGTGAATGGTTCATCAGATTAATTGGAAAGAAGGGAAATTTTTCGTAGCAGGAAGTTTAGAAAGAGCTGCAATGTTTAATTTTGAGTGTTGAAGCAAAGGTGGGTTTTCCCAAATTTGAAGGCTATGATAGTAAGTGAGAAGAGTAGCATATATATTATGAAATTCTGCTGAAAATCATCTTTGGCAAATGCTTCATATGGACAATTCTGTGATTGATTTTAGGATTTTATGGTTAAGCACGAAAATTGAAAATTTTTAATAAAATTTAATATGTTTGAAGTTTAAATTTTAATAATTATAATCTTTTTATTTCAAATTATGAATTTTTTATTAAAAAAATGCAAAGCAATTCCTTTAGATGTTTTGGAAAGGAAACGATATTTGCCAATTTAGTTTAAATTTCTCATCCCATATGTTTTTTTTTTTTTAATGTAACCATGACGTTAATTACTTGTTTATATATGTGTTGTATTTGACAATTTAAAAGAGGTTGCTGCAGGTCGTACATTTGATATGACATCAACAAATGATCATTAATAAAACTCAAACCCAATATTTTTTCATTGAAGAGGATAAATTTTAATCGATTGAACTAATCACTCATTAATAACACATGAAATATACATTATACTATAAAAGATGCCCTTGCAAGCTGTTTATGGGCTTGCAAAAGCAAGAACCTGTGTTGTGTAAAGCGAAAATCATTCATATGCACAAAAAAAAAAAAATTATGCAAATACAATTAGGAAAAATTAAGAGTCTTTCAAATTAAAAAAAAAAATAAAGAGAGAATTATTTGAGATGATTTAAACATATGAAATGTATGTTCATTTGTATACTGAAAAATAAAATTTTAAATTTAAGAGAAACCAAAATTTTTATATGTATATTAGGAGAGATGTAGATGTAAACTACTAAAAAATAATAAATAATTAAAAAAATAAATAAATAAATTATTATTAATAAAAATAAGTGATGTAAAAAAATTTAAAATTATAATATAATACAATTTTTTTTATTTTTATATAATCGATTCCAAAATATACAATGTAAGATTTAATTTATTATTATTATTGTTATACAAATTCATTTAATTTGGATATGTGACTAGGTAATAAGCGAAAGTATTTAAAAGTTTAGTTTATTCAAATTTAAAGTTCGAACATTAAAATGTAATTTTTATCTTTTCTCAACTAAAAAAATCTGATTTGATTTTGTTGTTTTTCATTTAAAATTGTAGCCAGGCAGGTAAGGTTTACAAATAGATTTTTTTTTTCAAGTGCACATTTTTGGTATTAAATGCAATAAAGTAGGCATGTGAGGTTCGGATACCAATGAATCATAGATAGTTTTACCTTTGTTTGTGTCATTATCAAAGGATAAAGAAAAACATTATATTTTTGTGGAACATGATTTTAGTTATAACTTAGGGATTTTTTATTTTATTACTCAAAACAATCAATGTTCTAATGATTATTATATTAAAAAAACATGTTCTTTCATCAACAACGAGTCATTTGAAAGTGATTATAAACAAAAATAAAATGTAAAGTAGATTAAAATTTCGAATTTAGCATCACTTGTATATTTAAAAAAAATTTCTTTTCATTTATATATATAGATGAAAAAAATTAAATTTATTGTCATCACAAAATAATAAATTTGAATAAATTTAATTAAATTAAATTTAAAAAATGATATTAAACAGATTTAATATTTAAATGTTGACATCTACAATTATATTCTTATCCCCGTATTACGACATCTTTTATAAAAAGCAATCAATTTTTTATGATAATTTATATTAAAAAAAATATATTCCTTAATTAACAAGAGTCATTTTATTAAGGATTTGGTCATCATTATCAACTATAAAAGAAAGAAATAAAGAAACATATGGATTGTCACTTGTGATTATTTATGTCCTTAAAAAAAAATTTTGATGACATTGGCAAATAGGAGTAAAAGAAATTGAAAAAAATAAAAAATTAATTTAAAACTATAGTGTTTAGTTTGGATCAAATCATTTTTTTAAATTTGGATTAAATTCAGATATTAAATATATATTAAATTTAAATCAAATTTCGAATCGATGTGTAAAAAAAAAAAAACAAATCGAATTATTATGTTTTTGTTAGCTTTTATCTATCTTTTAAATTTTTATAAAATAAAAATAATTACTTTATATATAAATCTAATTCAAATATATTAAATTTTATTAAACTAATATATAAAATAAATTAAAATTTAAAAAACAATAAACTAAATTGAATCAAACCGATAAAATTTGATTTGAATTATATTGGTTTTAAATAAAAATTGATTCAAATTCAAATCAAATTTTAAAAATTTATAATACTATATATTATTCAAAAAATTTAAATCAAATTAAATCTAATTTGATCACAACCGTTATCATCTACCAAAAAAAATATAAGACAATATTTTGAAGTTTGATCCATCTATTTCTCAATCAAATTTCAATAAAATTTTTAGTCTGGTTATGCTCTTTTAATTTTGACAGCCCAAATTCCATCCAAGACCAAGGGCCATTTAGCCCAGTCTGAGAGCTCCATGTAGGTGCTAAGGAAAACTATGGACATTATTAGAGCTCAAATAGTTAGTTGGGCTAACCATTTGAGTCTAAGCCCAAATCATTATCTAAAGTTGGACTGTCCAAAGCAGACAAAATTGCCAACACGAAAATCGGGCCGTTATTAGGAGACTATTAGACTCAGTTGGGCCCACGTTGAAAGACATAACAGGCGTAGGCCTAATAATCATGGGCCATTGATGGGCCAGACCTTTTTCTGTGGATCTAGCAAACATGCTGACATGGCGGCCTAAGAAAAAACAGTTGCAAAGGAGTCACTTTACTTAAGAAACAGACAATTCTCCCTCTTTTTCTCTGTGTTTTTCTCTGTGTCTGTCTCCTCTGATTCACGCCAACGTTGCTCTTCCCCTGCGGCAATCTCGATTACCTATGCAAAATCTAATTCCCATTTTTCGAGGTTCTTTCTCTTTCAAACACCAAATATTCCCATAAATAATTTAATCTTTTTTTTTAAATTCCAAAGCATCAATTTTTAATTATAAATATAAATACTATATAATGCAGCTAGAGCTAGGAGTTTTTAGAATGTGATCTCTGCTTTTTCTTTTAGATGGCGACAACCCAAGAACAGAATCTCTCTCATTCTGGTGGGTCACTTGACTCTGTTTTATTCCAATTCCAAAAACATTTGGTTTGTCTACTTTCTGTTTGGTTCTTGGGAAAATCATTGGTTTCTGAATTGGGTTTTGGTTTTCGTATTGTTTTGCTGCAGTTTCCGCTGGTAGCTTCTTTATGTCCTTTTGTTTTTATTTGGCTTTTAGAAATAAAAAATGAGCTCAATTATTTTACAGTTGAATTGGGATTAATTCAGTTTTGCATAGGAGTTCAGAGAGCTTAGGAGTTCTATTAAGCTCAAATTATTGGAGCTTTTCCACCTTTAATGGTTAAAGGATTGAACTTTAGAGACTTTATAAAGATCCCACTTTTTCTTTTTCTTTTTTTTCTGGTTATTTGTAATTATAGGATCTGGAAGTTGCAAAAACCTATATGTGTACTTGTGATGAAATTTTATATTTTTTTTCTCATTTTCTTGTTTATTTGTGGAATTTCTATTGATTTTGGAGCATTTGTTTGATAGGAGTAATCATCTGGTGTTTTATCTTATAGGACTTCGTGAGAAGCACCAAGAAGAATTGGACAATCTTACATTAACAATTCAGCCCTTAAGAACTCTAAAGCTTTTTGCCTTTGCTGTTATTCAATGGATTCATCAGATAATTCGACATCGAGCTGGTTGGTTCATGTTTTCAAGCACTTTGGCTGGAAGTATTGGAATTTTGGTCATGACCATTGGTGGGCCTCATGAATTGGTATGATGTTATGCCATATTGCTTCTGGTGATTACTTCAGTCCAGATCGTAGAAGATTAAGTGGCTGCTAGTGTTTTGAGTGGTTGTCTGCTGCTAATTATAGATAATGTGATTCCTTTTTTTTGAAGAAACAGTAGTAGTTGAGTATTACTCTTTTGTCTTTTGAGTTGGAAATGCCATGCAATGTAATTTTGATCAGTGATTTTTGCTAGTGTGTTGGTTTGATGAGGAATATTTGCAGTTGTCAGCTTGATTTCTTGATAATATTTCAATTCATCCTTGGAAGCTGCAATTATGTTTTGATTTGTTTCTATGTTCTGATGAATAGTGCGACTTTGGCAGGTTCAAGAGCATATTCATTACGTTCAGTTTGGAGTTTGGTGGTTGGCCCTTGGGGTAGCATCATCTATTGGTCTTGGTAAGGGGAGTTCTACTTTGTCACTATCAGATTTTTTACGCCACTTCTATTATATTCTAGATGCTTGTACCATTTGCTTTGGAAGGATTCCGTTCAAATTTTCCTCTCTTGCAATTATTGAGCATTAGCTTTTAAATTGTTGTAAGAGATGGTGAGAAACTGTTGTCTATTCCTAAAATTAAGGGATCATACTTCACTAGATTAGCTGTTATATTCCTTTGGTACTTGTTATCACTGTTCTATTTTCTTGCTTAAAAGAATTTGCTGCTTATTCTCAATAAAATCATTTATATACATGGATTTTTTTTTTAAAATGGGACTCTGAATCTATTCTATTTCTCACAGGATCTGGTTTGCACACATTTGTGCTGTATTTGGGTCCACACATTGCCTTTTTTACAATTAAAGCTGTGCAGTGTGGCCGTGTTGATTTAAAAAGTGCTTTATATGATACCATTCAACTGAACACTGGTCCTTCATGGCTGAAAAAAAATTGCTCTGACTATGGACCTCCACTGTTCCCATCAGGACATGGTTCAAGAGTTCCACTCGGTAGCATATTGCCTCAGGTTCAACTAGAGGCCATCTTATGGGGCATTGGGACTGCACTTGGAGAGCTCCCTCCATACTTCATATCTAGAGCAGGTCATAAGGGCACAGCTATTATTATTCTGTGTTTGCACTTGTATACTTCCATTATTTTCTGATTGTTTATTGATTATGGTTTATAATCTTGACTTTCCTACTTAAATGCTTTGGCAGCTTGCATATCAGGTAGCAAATTGGTTATCATGAGTGATTTAGATTCTTCTTCAATGGAAGATGGTAGTATCACAGCCAATCATCTGAAACAGATAAAATATTGGCTCCTTTCACACTTACAATACTTGAACTTCTTTACAGTTTTAGTTCTTGCTTCGGTAATCTAGGAACTTTTTCTTTCTTCTTTTCTTCACAATTTTAGTTGTACTTTTGATTTTTTATCGTAACTTTGATCAATGGTATGAAAGAGTAGTTATCATAGTAGCTATAGCTAATTTGGACAAATTAGCTGGAGTGAAAATGTCTGCTTCATTGGTGAAAGTTGGTTTTTGAATGATGCTGTCCAAAAAATTCTTTTGCTCATTTGGGTAAATAATTAGAAGGTGATATTAGCCTAATGAAATGCATTAGATATCACTGCAGTTATTTTTGCAGCAGATCATAGTACTGTAGTACTAATTTCTATTAATAATCTTTGTGCTATACTGAAGCAGAGGCTTGTGTTGCTAACCTATTTGGATTTGTAATTTTCTGATTAGAGTGTTATATTTTCAGGTTCCAAATCCTCTGTTCGATCTTGCTGGTATTATGTGTGGGCAATTTGGTGTTCCATTTTGGAAGTTCTTTCTAGCAACATTACTTGGAAAGGCGATCATTAAAACTCACATTCAGGTTTGAGAAGTCCTAGATTTTATACCAGGAGGTTTTTGAGCTACTTTATTTCTTTAAAGTTGTTATCTGTCTCTAAAATCATAAAATGTAAGTAAAAAGGAAAAAAGAAAAACTTCTATGTGAAAGGGGGTCAGTAAGCTTAAGCATGATGGTAAATCCTGCTGCTAAGTGGTGGGAACATTTATGCTGATCCTTGATGTTATTTTGTGACTTATGGTTGTTATTTTCTGTTTGTCACCGCAGACGGTTTTTATCATCTCAATTTGCAACTATCAGCTTCTGGACTTCATTGAAAATGAGTTGATTAGAGTGCTCAGCTTTATCCCAGGAGTAGCCACCATCCTGCTGGACCTTATCAGGAAACTACATACTATTAGAGACAAATATATGTCACCCTCTCCTCCAGTCTCCTCAAATATTAAAGTAATATAAACACAAAATAGTGTGATAAGCATACCTATGCAGGATGCCTTAGGTCTCCAGCGGAACTTCTTGCCTGGTGCTAATTTAGCTTTTTTTGTTTTCTCTACAGGTGAATAGTTGGGATTTATCACTTGCTTCAATCTGGAATACTGTTGTATGGCTCATGCTTCTAAACTTCTTCATTAAGATAGTAACAGCAACTGCTCAGAACTTTCTCAAGGAACAACAGGAGAAGGAGTTGATAACATTATCAAAGAACTATTTTGAATTGAATCCTTCAGCTTCTAAATCCATTTAGACATTTGATAGTAGTTCTGTTCCCCGTTTATGTTTATCTTTTGCATCATGCCTAATGATGTGGTAATTTTAGAGGCAGAAAATTTTTATATCTGTCACAGTTAATAGTTTTCCACACCATACTCGGTTTTGTGTTTAATTTGTATGGAAAGCTTGAAGGAACAGAAGGGAAAAAGCAAGTTCCATACTTCATTCATTCTTGTTATTGGATTTTGGACTTTAACATATCATCTTTGTTGTCAAACCTCAGGCAATATAAATCAAGTTATTAGCTTTATCAATCATGTCAAGCCGGGTTTTTTTTTTTTTTCTCTGATCTATCTCACTAATTGTTGAGGTGGGGTAAGGGATTGCTGATGCTTTTTTTTTTTTGTCTTTGTTGTTTTGTAATCAGTATCAAGTTATGTTCAACCATGTATCATACAATGGTAAGCTTCTGAATTCTTGGAAATTCTCATGTTAAGAGCATATCAGGTATACGTTGATGGTGGAAAATCTAATCTCAGATGATGCTGTAAAGCATATTAAACTTTAAAGGTTGCCTTCCAAAACAATTCATTGATATATCATCATGACAAAAATCAGTGACTTAAAGTTTACCTTTGATCACCTCAACGGAAAAGAAAATCTTCTTGCTCTGAAGTTTGAATTTGCTTTGCTTTGTTGTGTATCATATAAACATTTCTTGTAAATACCAGAAAAGCAGTATAAAGTACCATACGTGGATGATGGCACGCCTAGATCTAATCTCTAACTTAAATACAGTCCACTACAATAGGAAGAAACATATCAACTGCCCCATGTGTGACCAAGACCGTATGCATCCATAAACCCGGCTGCACGAGCATGATCATGACCATGGGCCACATGGCGGTGGCCGTGGCCGTGGCCGTCACTGTCACCTTCACTGTCACTGTCACTGTCAGTGTGGTCAGTGTCTGTTGCTTCATCAAACATCTTCTGAATATGCGCAGCAATGGTCTGTTCCTCAACTTGTCTAACTGTTTTGGGCAATGAAGACACAAACTGAGCTACAATCTCAGCTAGTTCACCAGGAACACCTTCCTGAGATCACAAAGACATAACAAGCATGAATTCAAAATGAAGCAAATGCATGTAATGTTGACAACACATAGAAGACACCTAAGGAACTTGTTAAAACATCTTATTATTCTAGAAAACATACAATCAATCTATGATGCTCTTGATTTAAATTCCAAAGGGTGCATCCATGGTCCTATAAATTTGGAAGAATGCAGTTACCAAGTGACATGCAAAGTAATGGAGTATCGCATCAATTTCAACTAAAGAGCACACAATTCAAAAGGTATGTAAAGAACCAAAAACAACATTCATGCAAGTATCAGAGCAAAAACAATCTATTAAAGACATACAATCAATCAATCATACAAGAATTAACCAACAATATAACATGGCTGCATATCTTTGGAACATATGAGAGCAAAAATCAAAGGTCAATCAAGTCAGAATCAATCACAAACTCAGTCACGAGCATGCCTAAAATCATCCAAAAGCGGCTATATTATGATAATTCAACTGTTAATAATGTAAAACAAGAACAACAGAAACTTAATATGTCGAAGGAGTCAATGGGACCTGAGGCCATCGCCCTCCAGAATGAGTGACAAATTTTGCCCCAGGAAGTGCCTCAGCAATTCGTCGACCCTCTTTACTCCATTCGTCTGACCAATCATTAGACCAAAGTACCTGCAATGGCACACCTTTTATACCATCCAAACCTCCCCACTCTTCTATATCAAAACTATAATTCAGCTTCTTCCCCATCCCCACAACTGCTCTTCTCGCATCCCATCCCGTCAAAAGCGCTCTATGTGCCTCCAACTCCGACCAACCAATCCCCTTTGAGCAACACAAGTTTATCAACCTTGCATACGCAAAAGAAAACCACAACACAATCTCACCCACCACAGGTATGTTCAAAACCCAAAAAGGCAAAGCTGGTTTTAATCCTGTATCAATAAGAGTTACACTTCTAATGAAACTTGAATTCTCAGAAATCCAATTTGCAGCCATAACAAAACCGGAATCATGCAAAACTAAATGCACAGGAGCTAATCTCATTGTTTCTATAACTTGCCCCAAAACCCTTCCCATCTCTTGACTTCCCATTTCAATAACCTTAAAACTCTTTTTAACCAAAACTCTTGACTTTATCTCTTCATAAGGGAGTTCACCAGTTTCAACCGCTTGATCGAAAGCCCAAAACAAACCCTTTTCTTGAATCAAACTATAAACTTCCTTAAACCTTCCTAAAACCCCATTTGTTCCTTCTTCAATCTCTACCCTTGAGTTATCTGAAAACCCATTTCCAGGCAAATCAAAGGCTACAACATGAACTCCTTTTGTGCCTAGAACTCTTATCATTTCCCTATAAGAATAAGAACTCAGCCCCAGCCCATGAACAACCACAACATTCTCAGATGAAGAAAACTGACCATTTTCGGAAACAAAAATTTCACTTGGTGATTGGTTTGGGTTTATTTGTACTTTAATGGTTCTACCATTTGAGTAGTGTTGGCGTAGGGAATTAGGCAAAGAAAGGAACCAGGATCTGGGGTCTTGAGGGGACAAAGAGGAAAAAGAGACGAAGAAAGTAATAAGAAAAACACTGAGAGGAAAACAGAACCAGAAGGCAAAAGGGTTTCGAGTTTGGGAGCTCGGGCTTGGCTTTGAAGTGGGTTTTGAAGGTTTCGAGTTTGGATTTAAAGTTGGTTTTTCAGGGGGTTTTTCGTTTCCTCTTGTTTTCTGTGACCCTGGCTCTATCCCTTCTGTTATGATCGCCATTGACAAGCATCAACTGTAAACTTCAACTTCTAATCTTTGAAACACATCATGAAGAAGAAAAGTTAACAGCTCTGTTTCAAACGTATAAACTTTAAACAGTAAAAAAAAAAAAAGCAAAATTTGAGATTTGAGATTTGAGATCAAGCTGGAGAAAATAAATTGTCCACCTTCTGGTCCTTTTAGTCTCTCTGTTTCATTCCTTAACGACAACGTTTTAGTCTTTCTGGTTTTGTACTCTATCTATAAAAAGCTTTCCTTTCCTGAAGAAAGACTGTTGACTTTAATAAGTAAGATTAAATTATTAGATTTCAGACATTTAAAAACGACACCGTCCACTTTCAGCTGTTGTCTTTTTCCTTATACGACACAGTTTTCATTCAACTACCATCATTTCTGGTTTCTCTTCTTTGACTCTGACTCACAAACCTTGATACCCTGTATTCTCTGTTGTACTTATTCATTTTCTTGTTTCTATCGGAAGTTGCTACTATTATCAACTATGCAGTCGCTACCATCACAAGCAATGCGTCCTCTATCCCTCAACCCATCTCTTTCCTCTTCTCGTTTTCTTTTCTTCTCCTTCTCAATCCCCATTTTCCACAAATTCAAAAGCAACCCCACAATTTATAATAAATCACAGAAGGGTCCTTCGTTTTTGACCCTACGATGTTGTAATTCTGGTTCAGTAACTGCCAAGCCTTCTTCAGAGCTTCATAGGAACCGTACTGTTCAAGAACCGGATGAAAAGGTTGTTGCTCTTCGCCAGCTTTTTCCCAAGCCTGGAATTGGAATTGATGCCTATATCATCCCTTCTCAGGAAGCTCATCAGGTTCAATTCTCTTTCTTTTCTATACTTGTTAATGCTCAAATTCAATTAGTTTTTGGTTGTTTCGAGTAGCTGGTGTTTTGACTATTGAGTGCTTTCAGATGAAATATTCTGTCATAATTTAGATGGTAAACTGATATAAATGAGACGAGATTAACATTATTTGGACTCTTAGGTGCCCATAAACTGTCTCAGATCTCATCATGTTCATAAATGCATCATTGCATTATTGTTTTCAACTTTTGGTTGGTTCAATAATTGTATTCAAGTCTGTTTTAAGCAGATTTTAAGTGCTTCTGTTAATAAATTTCATGTGTTATGATAAATGATTATTCAGTTTTACTACTTGTTAACATTTATCAAAATGTCACCATTAAGGATTATCAGGGATATCTGTATGTGAGACTGAAATTTGTCACAGTAGAACTTTCAAGTTCTGACTTCTACTGCAATTAGTTTAATTACTATTGGCCATGGTTTCTAGAGTGAGTTCATTGCTGAATGCTACATGAGGAGAGCCTATATATCAGGCTTTACTGGCAGTGCAGGGACTGTTGTCACAAAGGATAAAGCAGCTCTATGGACTGATGGTAGCTATTTCTGCAGGCTTTTTCTTGTTGGGAAACTTTATTAAGTCATTTTAATGGAGTTCCATCTAGTATGGTCCACCATAGATTAAATGCTTGTTGATACTAGTTCTTCCTGTCTTCTGACCATTTAGGCTGAGAAATAGTTGCGCTCAAGCTGGATTCTCATGTGTGCTGGTAATCTTGGAGTTCCAGCAATTAGTGAATGGCTTAATGATATTTTGGCTCCTGGTGGCAGAGTTGGCGTTGATCCTGTGAGCACTCTTTCAACCTCCTAAATGGGTGCATCTAGCTTACCATTTGCAATCAATATAACCCTTATTAATTTTTGGCTGTGTCTGATGACGTCTGATAATTTGAAGGGAGCAGTTTCTATTTTCTTATGATGCTGCAGAAGAATTGAAGGAGGATATATCTAAGAAGAATCTTGAGTTGGTTTACTTGTATGATTTAAATCTTGTTGATGAAATATGGAAGGAATCAAGGCCAAAACCTCCTAACAAGCCAATTAGAGTGCATGATCTGAAATTTGCTGGCGTAGATGTGGTGTCCAAATTATCTGCCCTGAGGGCTGAACTAGTTGGTACTGGTTCATCTGCAATTGTTATATTCATGCTTGATGAAGTTGCCTAGTTGCTGAACTTGGTATTAATACTCACACTTACTTAGTTGCTTGTTATTTTTTTTTTGAAACAAAAACAGTGATAGTCTTTGTTTTGTCAAGATTTCTTAGAATGCTCATTACTTTAGAAGAAATCTGATAGCTCAACTTGCTCAGACCAATATACATATACATATACATATATATATATATATATATATATATACACATATACATATATATATATGTATATGTGTGTGTGTGTGTGTATATATAGAAAGAGAGAGAGAGAGAGAGTTAATCATTCAATAATTTCTTCTTTTGCCTTTAATCCTTCATCCAACTAATACCTTACATCTTGTTTTGCAGAGTGGAAGTGATGTCCCACATTCACCTGTTATGTATGTATACTTAACTGTGGAGGTTGACGCAGCAAAGTTATTTGTAGATAATTCTAAAGTCACCCCAGAGGTGATGGATCACTTGAAGAATGCAGGTGTAGAATTAAGACCATATGACTCCATCCTTTCTTAAATAAGGAGGTATGTTTAGGTGATGTTATTTTTGCATTTGAAACATTTTTCTTTGAATGGGGCATTTTTTTATGCTATGGTGAAGTGATGATTTTCACTTTAGTTCATTAGGAAACTAGCGTGTCTTTCATTGAAGCAGTTTTCACAAGATTTTATGCATTTTCATTTAGATAGCTTAGACTTTCTTGTTTGAAAAATATGTAATAAAAATGTAAAAGCAGCCAGCAAAGATGTCTATCTTTATCTAAGGTTGCAAAATTTTTTATTATATCTATTCTTAGCTGGTTTTGCCAGGTGTGCTAGGGCAAACTTATTTTAGAAATAACTAAATATACCTTTTTCATACCGGCAGCAAAGGGGGCTCACCTGTGGTTAGATACATCATCTGCTAATGCTGCTATTGTGGAGACATATAAGTCTGCTTGTGATAAATATTTTATGAGCCATGGGAGTAGAGGAAAAATAAAGAATAAGGGATATGGTGAATCCAATGGTCTCTCTAGAGGTCCTTCTGGAGTTTATAGATGATCTCCAATCTCCCAAGCGAAGGCATTGAAAAATCCTGCTGAATTAGAAGGGATGCTGAATTCTCACTTGAGGTAATTGATTTCTCCATATAATAGTAATACCTCAGTTTGTGGTTATAATTTAGTTGGCTGCAATCCGTTTTTGAAACATTCGTCTTCGGAGGATATTCCTTTTAAGAAACATCTACCCTTTTGTAAGCAAAGAGGACACCTACCATTGTCTGTTGACATGCCTGCTATAGCCCTTCTTTGTGAAACTTTCTATTTTGGGGTAGCTAAAAGCTATTGCTTGCTAGAAAAGATATGTAGATAAAAAAACTTTAAGAATTATAATTATGGTGATAATATACATGCAGGGATGCAGTTGCTTTGGCACAGTTCTGGTGCTGGCTGGAAGAGGAAATTCATAAGAATGTGAAACTCACAGAGGTAGATGTTGCAGACAAACTTCTTGAATTCCGTTCAAAGCAAGATGGTTTCCTAGACACAAGCGTTGATACAATAAGTGGTATATTACTTTATGAATTCTTGATTACCTTCCAGTCTAAGTCCAGCCATTTTAATTCCTTGCGTCCTGGAAAAAGTAAAATTGCCATGCTTTGTTTTTATTTTGGAAGGGAATATGTAAATTAATAAACTCCACAACCAAAAATCAAATCTCTGTCTATCAATTTATAATTCACTCTTAACATTTTGAATAATATTGCGGGATCAGGTGCAAATGGTGCTATTATACACTACAAACCTGAAAAAGAAAGTTGTAGGGTTGTGGATTCAAATAAATTGTTCCTATTGGATAGTGGAGCTCAATATGTTGATGGAATAACTGACATAACAAGGACTGTACATTTTGGTGAACTAACTTCCAGGGAAAAAGAATGCTTCACCCGAGTTCTAAAGGTGCTGGTTCTGTTTTGATCTATCTTGTCGGTATCATATGAGCCCCATGTATGTGTTACATAAAGAGATTGACTGGCTCTTAACCAAGTTTTTCTAAAATATTTGAGAATATTGGTAAATTTTTTCTTACTTTGTGAGATCACAACAGCCTTGTATCCCTCACATTCCTTTTGTCTGGTTCTCCACTTTCTTTTTTCTTTGTACATATAAAATGGAAATCCAGTTAGAAATGGAGCATATATTTGATTATTTTTAGTCTTATGAGTACCTTCCACCATGATATGATTTCATCACTGTACTACTTCTAAAGATTACCAAGCTCTCGTATATGAATTGGTTATTTTGGTGTTTCCTGATATACCATCAAATTGCAGGGTCACATTGCTCTTGATCAAGCAGTATTCCCCGAAAGCACTCCAAGTTTTGTGTTGGATGCGTTTGCCTGCTCTGCCCTTTGGAAGATTGGACTTGATTACCGCCATGGTATTTCTCCCATCTTTCCAGTGACTTCCCCACAGTACGAAAAAGCTTTGTCTATTATTGATTTATGACTTCATTGTCTTGTTCCCTTTATGCAGGTACTGGGCATCGTGTTGGAGCCGCATTGAATGTCCATGAAGGCCCACAAAATATTAGCTACAGATATGGAAATATGACTCCCCTACAAAAAGGCATGATTGTTAGCAATGAACCTGGCTACTATGAAGACCATGCCTTTGGCATTCAGATTGATGTACAAAGTCATTCGGCCATATCTGTTTGTTCTAAACTTTGCATTAGCTAAAAGAATTCTGGCTGTTTAATTTCCTTGATGAATTCATTTAATTGATCTAACTGCTGGTTTAAAGCTAAACTTAGTTGGTCCACATCCAAACACCTCATGTAATTTGAACTACATTGTGATTAAAGGTTAAAAGTTATATTAATTAGGTTTGAGCATTATTTTGTAGTTTATATTATGAGTAACCCTCTAGTTACTGTTTGAGAAGCTTGGTCATTTCTAACTTAGAATCTTTCATCTTGCAGAATCTTCTTTTTGTGCAAGAGATTCATACACCTAACCGTTACCGAGGAATTGAATATCTTGGATTCAAAAACTAACATTTGTTCCCATTCAGGCATGCTGCCGATTTCCTTGTACTAATGCTGTTCAAATCTTACTTTGCGCATTAAGATGCTGTATTTCCACCCACTTTTGCTGTCTGCTAACTCCACCATGATAAGTTCTTCTGGGCATAAATTACTAGTTACAATCTGGTTCTGAATCAGTTCTAAGAAACTTACTTAGAA